CTTCTCTTCTCTTCTCTTCTCTTCTCTTCTCTTCTCTTCTCTTCTCTTCTCTTCTCTTCTCTTCTCTTCTCTTCTCTTCTCTTCTCTTCTCTTCTCTGTGCGCTTGTCAGTCCCGCCCGCGTTGCTTGGTTTTGCCGGGGGGGCGGGGCAGGGGTCCTCTGACGGGGTGCGTGGGCGCTGGGGCAGGGTGCCCGCTGGGCTCCGTGCTGAGAGGGCGAGGGAGTGAGAGAAATACGGACAGAGAGAGAGAGAGAGAGAGAGAGAGAGAGAGGTGGAGAGGGAGAGATATAGAGAGAGAGATTGAGCAAAAACGAGCGATGCAGTGGCTTCTTCTTTCTTCATGTGTGATGCTGGCCTGTCGTTTCCCGGTTCCCTCCTCCTTTCTCCTCCTCCTTCTCCTGGGCTGGGCTATTCAATAGTTGCGCACCCCCCCGATGTCGAGGTCGTCCACCTTGCTTTCGAGGAGAGCCGAGACGAACCTCCTCCTCCTCCTCCTCCTCCTCCTCCACCTCCTCCTCACCATCACCATCATCACCATCATCACCATCATCACCATCATCATGACCATCACCACCACCATCATCATCATCATCACCGTCAACATCATTATCACCATCATCATCATAATCATAGTTATCGTCATCGTCATCGTCATCGTCGTCGCCACCATCATCGTCATCATCACCATCTGTATCATCGTTGCCATCGGCGTCATCATCGTTATCATCGTCATCGCCGTCATCGTCGTCATAATCGTCATCGTCGTCATTGTCTTCACCGTCATCTTCATCATCATCATCATCACCCTCTTCATCATCATCCTCATCATCATGATCACCCGCATCATCATAATCACCAGCATCATCATCATAATGTTCGTCATCGTCATCGTCATCACCGTCGTCATCGGCATCGTCATCGTCATCGTCGTCATCATCCTTATCATCATCATCATCATCGTCGTCATCGTCCTCATCATCGTCATCACCGTCATCATCGTTATCTTCGCCATCATCGCCATCATTTCTAACATCGTTATCATCGCCATCGCCGTCATCATCGCCAATATCCCCGTAATCATCATCATCATCACCGTTATCATAAACATCGTCATGTCCATCATCATCGTTATCATCGCCATCATCATCATCATTACTATAATCCTCATCCTCGCCACCGTCATCAGCGTCATTGTCATCATCGTCATCGCCATTCTCAGAATAAGCATCTGCAGTATCACCATTACAACCATCATCGTCACCATTATCATATGCATCGTCATCATCATCACATTCATCTTCATCCTTATTGTCACCTTCATCTTCATTTCCATTTTTTAATTGTCATTTTCGTCTACATCGCCGTCTTCATCTTGATATGCATCTTCATCTTCATCACCAGCATCATTATCATCTGCATCAACATCACCAGTATCATCACTACCATCATCACCATCACAACCACCACCAACACCAACATTAACATTAACATCAACAGCGACATCAACATTCACCTCAACATCGACATCCTCATCACCAATATCATCCTCATCATCCTCATCGTCCACATCCTCCTCATCATCCGCATCAACACCATCAGCACCGTCATCAGCATCAGCTTCCTCCTCCCCATCCTCATCCTCATCCGCATCATCATCGTCATCTTCATTCACATCCGGATCCTCGTCCTCATCCTCATCCTCATCCTCATCATCATTCTCATTCTCAGGCTCATCATCATCATCTTCATCCTTTTCCTCAGCCTCAGGTGCAGCACCAGCCTCAGCCTCATCCTCATCCTCAACCTCAGCTTCAGCCTCAGCCTTAGTCTCAGCCACATTTTTATTCTCACGCTCACCCTCACCCTCACCCTCACTCTTACCGTCGTCATCATCCTGGCCCTCATCGTCATCCTCAGCCTCACACTCATCCTCATCCTCATCCATCCTCATCCTCATCCTCATCCTCATTCACATCCTCCTCCTCCTAATCCTCATCCTCATCTTCATCCTTGTCCTCATCCTTGTCCTGATATCCCTCATCTTCATCCTCACCCTCATTCTTTCTCATCCTCATCCTCATCCTCATCCTCATCCTCATCCTCATCCTTATCCTCATCCCCCTCATTAGCCTCATCCTCATCCTCATCCTTTTCCGCCTCTTCCTCCTTTTCATCGTCTTTCTCCTCCTCATCCTCGTTCTCATCCTCGTCCTCATGCTCCTCCTCCTCCTCCTCCACCTCCTCCCCACATCCTCATCCTCAGCCGCATCCCCAGCCTCATCCTCCCCGTCTTCCTCCTCCGCCTCCTCCTCCTCGTCATCTTTCTTCTCGTCCTCCTCCTCCTCCTCCTTTTCATCCTCTGCCTCCTCGTCCTCCGTCTCCTCCTCCTCCTCCTCCTCCTCCTCTTTACTCCTCCCCACCTCTTTCGTTCTCTTGTCTTGCAGTGCCTCCCTCGTCGGTTCATGCTTTGTGCACTCTGCTGCCTTTGTTTTGGCATCTTTGTGATGATGGTGATGATATCTCTGGGCCCCGCGGCCCCCTCCGCCGCCCCTCCCTGCATGCCGCCTGCTCGGCTGGTGCGGGCTGCTATCGTTGCCGTGACGTGCCGCTGCGTGACGTGCTGCGCTGTGGGACTCTGCTCGTGTCCCCTTCTGGCGCAGCCGTCTGTCTGACCTTGGGTTTCGCCTCCAGGGTCGGGCCTTCTTGCTCCTGGTTTGTCCTTGTCCCTGCTGGTGACGATGTGAGGCGTTGCAAGCGTTGCAGTTCATGCCTCCAGCCTCCTGGTTGTGCTCGCCGTCTTTCCTCCCAGTCGTGATGCGCGCCTCCTGTGCTTGGCATTTGGGCAGCATCAGCCCAAGGCCCCAGTGGCTACCTGGGCAGGGGCGGAGGCCTGGCCTGGACATCCTCCGAGGCGTCGTCCTGGTTTGTGCGCCGAGGGGCGGCGCCCCCACCTTCCTTGCCTGGGAGCCTCAGAGCAAGGGGCCCGTGCTGTGGGCAGCAGCGCTAGGTCGCAGCGACCAGGAGCCGGGCGCCAGCGTTTCGCGCCGGCCCGCGGGCCTGTTGGGATGCGCAAAGAACACAGAAGACAGCCCTTGAGGTCACTCCACCACGCCCCCCGCTCGGTCGCCGCGCCAAGGGCTTCTTCCCTGGTGGCGGGCCCTATACCGCCTCAGCCCAAGTTGCCCACGTGGCGTCGCACAGGGGTGCATTGTTGGACGGGTCTTGGACTTTGGTGGAGGGAAGGCGGGGGCAGATGCCTCAAGCGGTTTTACTACTCCTGGTCGATGGGGTAATGGTTGCGCGGCGTGCGTGGTATCCTTCCGGCTGCAGTTAGCGCCTGCTTCACTTGTTTTCCCGCTGGAGGGGTTCAGTTGAGGATAAGAGTGAGGGGGCGGCGGGGACGTGCAGTCTGCGAGGCTCTGAAGCAGGCCGCCGCCAGCGCAACGTTTTCAAGCTATACAACGAGCCCGCCGCAGGCGCCGAAGTTTTGGCTTGTTCAGTGAACGTAGTTTGGGTCGCGGGTGGGTCGCGGGCTCTCCACCTCCACCTGGAAGGAATTGAAAAAAACAGCCCGCCGCAGGCGCCGAAAATTTGGATTTGTACACTGAACGCGGTTTTGGCCGCAGGTTCTCCACCTGGAACGAATGCAAAAGAAACCCGCCGCAGGCGCCGAAGTCTTGGCTTGTTCAGTGAACGTAGTTTGGGTCGCGGGTGGGTCGCGGGCTCTCCACCTCCACCTGGAAAGGGATTCAAACGCAGCCCGCCGCAGGCGCCGAAAATTTAATTTTTCACACTGAACGCGGTTTGGATTGCGGGTGGGTCGCAGGGTCTCCACCTGGCACGAATGCAAAAGAAACCCGCCGCATGCGCCGAACATTTTGGGTGCCTCGCGGGTGGGTCGCGGTGGGTCGCGGGTGGGTCGCGGGCGCGGTTTGGGTCGCTGGTGGGTCGCAGGTTCTCCACCTGGAACGAATGCAAAAGCAGCCCGCCGCAGGCGCCGAAAATTTTGGGTGGGTCGCGTGGTGGGTCGCAGGTGGGTCGCGGGTGGGTCGCGGTGGGTCGCGGGTGGGTCGCGGGTGGGTCGCGGGTGGGTCGCGGGGTGGGTCGCGGGTGGGTCGCGGGTGGGTCGCTGGTGGGTCGCGGGTGGGTCCCCGAGGGGGTCTCGGGGTGGGTCGCGGGCGGGTCGCGGGGTGGGTCGCGGGTGGGTCGCTGGTGGGTCGCGGGTGGGTCGCGGGGTG